AATAATGCATGCAAATAATAAATGAAAGTAATTTCAATATACCATGGAAGGAGAATCAAATAAAATTCAGCACATTTTATCAACCACAATCACATTTTACCCATCATGCAAATATCCTTACAGGAATGTCTTGCCAGGGTTTAATAACACGTCTGGAAACTCAGACTTACCCCAATCATGTAGCTGAACAGAATATTGGAATATATATAAGAATGATCCAGATTTATGTGTGGCCTTTAAAAATGGCTGCATTAATAGCATCATCACTTTTCTAATTTATCTGAAGGCATTAGATAATATTTCACTAAAATGCGCAGCCCAGGAAATGTAGTTTTCTAGATAATGTCTTTACCTTATAGCTTTTTTTTTCATAGACTTCATCTACTTTTAGAAGTTGAGGGACTTTGCTGCTCTATATCTGACATAATGTTTAAGCAATGTTTATTATTTTCACATTTATTTTACGCCTTGTATAAAATAGATGACAAAATAAATCAATTTTAAATTTATTTTAAGATACCATACAATCTTCTCCCTCTGTTTGAAATGTACAGGACTCCTAGGCTCACAACAATTGTGCCCTATATGTACCTAAAACCATTTTTAAAATTGTTAAGGAAGAAACAGCTCTGTTCTTCCTATTGCAGCTGGGGCACTCCTCATCTGAACCCTGTGCTTTAACAAACATTCTTGAAAGTTAGGTTCTTCACATATAACTGTGCAGTCTTCATTAAGATGCCAGCTCTATTCCCTGAAAAATCTATTATATAAGTAGCATACAAAAAGAGAGGAGCAGGTATATTTAGATCCTGATAGTTAAAAGAAGAATGGCAATATGGGACATCCACTGGAAATTGCTTAAGTGTAAAAGAATTTAGAGCTGACTTTGGAGAAAGAAAAAGAAAGAAAGAAAGAAAGAAAGAAAGAAAGAAAGAAAGAAAGAAAGAAAGAAAGAAAGAAAGAAAGAAAGAAAGTTAGTTTAAAGAAGAAAAGAAGAAGCAAGCCAATAATAGGAGGCATGGAGAAGAGATTACACAGTTCAGAGATTGAAGGCAATTTGAGGAAAAAACTCAGAATAACCCAGACTTCATTTTTGTTTAGTACAAGGTAGGACAGAGAGAAAATTGGTTGAGCTTTCAAATTCCTAATAATATACCCTACAAAAATTATATTTCAGGAATCCTTGAGGTATTTTGTTTCCCTCTCACCTGAAGTAGCAGATTAAATTGGTCTGCCAGTAGTTTTGTGATTGGGATTCGACATGCCATTTGCAGTTATGGCATGTCGAATCCCAATCACAGAACTTCTGGCAGACCAATTCAGACCAAATCAGAGAACTACTGGCAGACTATTTGCAGTTATGGGTGCCTTCCAATTTCCTATCTTACCCTTACAGAAAAACCCTTAACATTACAATACATCTGCCCAAAAGGTGCTTTTTTAAAAGGTGCTTTTTTGCAAGTGGACTTTCTTTGTTGTTATTTATTTATTTATTTATTTTTAAATTTGTATACCGCCCTTCTCCCTGAGGACTCAGGGCAGTGAACAGCCAAGTAAAAGCATAAACTACAAACATTAAAATACAATTAAAACGATATATATAAATTTGGCCCCATGATTAAAAACAATAACAAACAATTAAAAACATTTTAAAAAGTGTTAGGCCAGCCCGGCTTGCTGGAAAAAGAAGGTTTTAAGGGCACGGCGGAAGGCACCGAGGTCTTGGATTCTCCTTATCTCTGGGGGCAGCTGATTCCAGAGGGTAGGTGCCCCCACAGAAAAGGCCCTCCCCCTGGGGGTTACCAGCCTACATTGTTTGGCTGATGGCAAACAATTGTTCCTTTGTTCCTCAAAGACATTTCACTTCTCATCCAAGCAGCTTCTTCAGTTCACTTCAGAACTGAAGAAGCTTCTTGAATGAGAAGTGAAACATTTTCGAGGAAAAACAAAGGAAGTCTTGTTGCCTTTTGAAAAAGCACCTTTGGGACAACCATGATCTGAGAATCTCCATAGACTTTAATGATACATCTGCTTTCAGTGGAGAGGATAGGAGAAGAATGAATAAGAATAGCCTCCATCCGCAAAGCAATCCCAGGATAGGACTGGTTTGCCCAACATGCAGTGAGATTTTTTCATATTATAGGATATTATGTCTCTACGTTAAGAACTTAGCTTTCACTTCTTAATGAGAACTAATGGGGGGAAAAAATCATCTCCACCTTTTGTTCATTAGAGGCAACCTATTTCTCCTCTGTTTTACACAAGAAGAAAAGGTTCTGGCAACAACCTGGGATAAAATATCTCTGCATTGGTTTCATTTCTCATTGTTCATGAATGATATTTCATGAGAAAAATATTATTTGTCAATGAACTCAGATATAAACACTAATTGAGCAGGTAGAAACTAGCATTCAGTTGTGAATGGTGAAAGTTTAAAAACAGATAATAACAAGTTGAATACTAGTGCACTTATGTAAGTAAAAGTTTATGGTTTATGTTAAGAAAACATTACTTCATTTCTCTGCAAATTACTGCAGTTATCCCAGATGCTGCAATGTAATATTATAACACAATACAGAATCATCCCACCTTTTCCCTATTCTGCTGCCAAACAACTGATTTGTGAGAGAGTTAATGGGCCCTTTTTTAGTTTATAGAAATGCACGCTTATCAATTTAGGGTCTAAAAAGTCATGGAAAGTTTCCAAAGATCATTTATCTTTATTTAGGTCTCTATCTCTACCATAGCTATATATAAGCTGTTTTGACCAGTACTGGGTTTCAATTTAGTTTGTTACCGGTTCGCTCATGGGCGTGTGCGCAACACTTCTGTGCATGCGCAGAAGCTTCTGCGCATACATAGAGATGTCTGGGCGGGTGGGCAGAGCCTCCCCCGCTGCTACCAGTTCGCCCAATCCAGGGGGAACCGGTAGCAACCCGCCACTGGTTTTGACCTACAGTATGTGTTTAATTGGTTCTCTTTATCTACTTTTAGGAATTGTGTGGTAAACAGATGATATTTTAGGTCATACTTATGCAAGAAATATTGAAAATCCAGAAGGGTTCGCAAATCTTTGAGCACTCACAGTATCAGTCAAAATGAAAAAAAATAAAAATAAAGGCATTTGCTTCTTTGAATTTCATTGAAAAACACCTCTTCCCGTGTTGTTTGTATTAAGATCTCTTATTTGAAAGGCAAACAGTACAACAGATTCATTTTTGGTAATTGGTTGGTTGTCTTTGAACATTGTTTAGAATTTATAAATGTTATATTCTCTTCAGGTTTTACAAGGGGGTATGTTTTTTGATACCAGCAAATGGAAACACACGCCTCATAACAAAGGAAACCGATTCTTGCTGAGAAAGTCTCTTTTTAGTTTCTTCTTTTTGGGTGTAACTTCTTAGAATTTCCTCTTAGTATTAAAAGGGAAGGGAGTTTCCTCATTTTAGTCAAATGTTCCATAAATTAGAACCTACTTTTCCCCTAAAGCTATGATTCACCTGGCTGAGCCTCAGGTGGAGATTTAGAATCCCAGGTTAGTGAATAATTCTGTTGTACTCCGTGAATACTGTGAATAACCAACAGACTCATCACTTCTAAATGCTGAGCAAATTGTGACTCCTTCTTATGAATTATTAGAAATGGGACTCAAACAAAAAATAGTGGACATATATATTTCTATATGAATCAATACTCTTATCCTACCCAATGCTGCCGAGCCTGAGAAGCCAGGGTAAAGCCCTCCAGTGAGATTTCCAATAAGCCATCTTTAAGTGAACTTAAAACTGCTGGCAATTTCTGGGAATTAAAGGGAGAATTTCAAATTGGAGAAGTTCCTGGGGTTTCATGACCAGAGGGAAAAGGAATTGCCATCTAGAATTTCACTCAAATGGGTAAATTGTAAAAGGGAAAGCAAGAGAAATAGAATACAACAAAGCTTGAAACTGCGGTTTAAGGAGCAGGGATTTTTCTGGTTTAATAGGAAAAAGAAAGTTGAAATAGAGAACAACTAGAGATGAGAAATATGGAGTAATAGTCTTCAATTGCTGTTTTTCAGAATTCTCTAGATGGGAAAGCAGTTTCAAAGGAAATCAAAAGCAAAAGCCACCATAAAACATTAATAAAAGTTCTGTGGCTCTTTAGATTGCATGAAACATTCACGTTGAGCATCATTTATTTTCACTTCTTTTCTAGCTTTCTGAACTTTTGCTGCCATCACATGGCAAGAATGTAGAAATAAACCATTTCATAAAAAGAAGTTCTATAAGAACATACATTAAAAGATACTTGATTACTTCCTTAAATTTAGGCCATATAAAATCTTCACTCAAGATCTTCTGTAGGACAACTCATAATCCTACAGCAATAAATATTGCAGCAGGCGCGTATCAGCTCTGTAACTCTACAATGTCATAGTTAGCTGGAAGGTAATTTACGCCAGGAAAAGCTAGTTCAAAGTTAATTTAGTTTTTCTAAAACCTACCAAGCTTAATAAAATAAAATTATTCTCAGCTGCCATATAAAACAAGATACATTTTTGCAGTTTCATTTCCTTTGGCTTTTATATTTATTTATCCAACCATGCATTTAGTTTAAGCTGGTTGTGGTCGGTCATTCTTAGTAAATTACAATAAATTTTTCCCATAAATTTTCAATAAAATGTCAACAGTATATTCAAAAGTACATTGTCAAAAAATTAAAATTATAACATATAAAAAATATAAAAATATGATTAAAGCAAATGATGTGCCCCCATTATAATAAAAGGTATGTTTCCCATAAGGAATGGAAATAATATTACATTGATAATAAAATTTAATGTATATAGAAACTGATTATTTTTCATAGAATTAGATCACTGTCTGAAAAAAATAATTATTTTTGAAAATAAAGAATTCTTCCATTTCTGACCTAACCAATTTTTTCAGCAATAAATTTTCTGTCAATCCATATCTGACCTGCTAAATACACATAAATTGTGTTGTTCATTTCTCACGTAGAATACAAAACAAGCTACATTCGAAGTCGTTCAATTCGCTCAGTGTCTGTTGAGCTTGATGGGAAGGTGTATAATTTGGATTTGGAGGATGGCTATCAACCTGTTTTACCATGGAATGTCACAAAAAAGCCCAAAAACAGTCAAGAATCAGGAGGAGGAGGAGAAGTTGATGATGCTAAGGATATGGAGGAATACAGTGGCACTGGCAGTATTTTAGAGAACACAGCACCAAACTTAATAAAAGTGACACACCGGTAAGTCTTTGAAGAGATTCATTAGTAGGTTGTGGTTTTTATTATTTATATACTTGAATATATGTGTGTGTGTGTGTGTGTGTGTGTGTGTGTAGGTCTTTGGTTATTCGGGTTTTCTCCCACGTAAAATTGGAAGTGTCTTGGCCAACACACTTCCAATTTTACACGGGAGAAAACCCGAATAACCAAAGACCTACATACAAACACCTGCGAAAACCTCAGAAAATATATATATATTCAACATTATATGTACATACAAACATATATAGCTCTATGTATCAGGATCATTTATCTATCGGGGACATTAGTACATTGCATCATAAACAAGAAAGGAGGAAAAATTGCAAGTTACAGCTCTAGTAAAGAATATAGGTAGCTCAGGATTGAACTGTTCGGTTGTTGGTATTCTCTGAGTGTAATGGTTAGTCTAGTGAAAAGAAGGACCAGGGGAGATATAATAGCAGTGTTCCAATATTTGAGGGGCTGCCACAGAGTGGAGGGGGTCAAACTATTTTCCAATGCATCTAAAGGCCAGACAAGGAATAATGGATGGAAACTGATCAAGGAAGAGCCCTGGTGGCGTAGCAGACTAAAGCACTGTTATTAACATCAGCTGCCTGCAATTACTGCAAGTTCAAATCTCACCAGGCTCAAGGTTGACTCAGCCTTCCATCCTTTCTAAGGTAGGTAAAATGAGGACCCAGATTGTGGGGGCAATAAGCTGACTTTGTATAAAATATACAAAAGTATGAAGGCTATTGCTTAACGCATTGTAAGCCGCCCTAAGTCTCTGGAGAAGGGCGGCATATAAATCAATTTTTTTTTTAAAAAAAAGGAGAGATTCAACCTAAAAATAAAGAGAAATTTTCTGACAGTGAGAACAATCAACCAATGGAATAGCTTGCCTTCAGAAGTTATGGGAGCTTCATCACTGGAAGCTTTCAAGAAGAGACTGGACTGCCATTTGTTAGAAATGGTGCAGGGTCTCCTGCTTGGGCGGGGGGTTGACTAGAAGACCTACAAGGTCCCTTCCAACTCTGTTACTCTGTTAAGTAAGAAAGATAATCAAGGAAGAACCCATACCTCAATCAAGGCTACATATAAACAACCAGGACATTCTATTCTTCGATGCATATTACCTAACCTGGTAATGAAAAAAACAAGCTTGAAGAACACCAAGAGCCCTAGAGAGGAAGGGCTCTCCTAGAGAGGAAGAGTCCATGCTTTTCTGCCTTAATATATGGGAATAAACAAGCAAAACCTCCTTCAATGATCGGGGCCTTGATTAGGCAGAGGGGCTTATATGAGTAAATGAAATTGTGGACATGTATATGTCCAGAAAGGTCTCCCAGCATGAAAGAAGCCTTCATTATGCAGTGGATAGACAATGGCTAAGATGATGATGATGATGATGATGATGATGATGATGATGATGATGATGATACAAGCAAAACACTAGGCTTAACCCAATGAGCTAGGTATATATTTCCTTAACTGCATTGTGTAATCCCCATAGTAAAAGGGCTTCAATATCCAACAAATAAGGTCCGCTTAAGAATTAAACATACTATAACATACACTGTATAAGCTTTAAAGTTTTCCATACAGTTGAGACGGGAACTTCTGTTGCTAAGTAATGCAGTGAGTCATCAGGTGACCTATTTTACAACCTTTTTTGCTACGTTCATTAAGCAAATTTGGCTTCCCCCATTGACTTTGCTTATTGGAAGCTGGCTGGGAAACTCACATGGCATTTACGTGATACTGGGATGCTGCCACCGCTGTAAATGCAGACTGGTTGCCAAGCACCGGATTATGGTCAGTGACTGCAGGAATGTTGCGACGATTGTAAGTGAGAGGTTGTGAGAGGCGGTTTTTTTCAATGCCGTCGTAGCTTCAAAGTGTTACTAAACGAATGTGCGTAAGTAGAGGGTCACCTGTAGGATGGCTACACCTAAGAACAAGTTCGCCTAATATATTTTGTTAAACGTTTGTCTACGTTTAACAAAATATATTATCGGGAATCTGACCGATCATACAGCCAATCCATACTCAAGATCATACTCAAGTCTAAGTGTTTGTGTTTATACTTAGGCTTCTCAACTATTAGTAAGCTTTTACTTCTTCTTTTTTTTTTTCAAAAAAAGTTTATAGTAATTTTTTCCTCCAAGTAATTCAAGACAGCACCCTTGGTTTTTCCCTACTGACATTTCAACCTCATAACAAACTTCAGTTTCCATTGCACAGATTGTTTACTCTTGGTTGCAGTAGGGGAGTTGCCCCTGTTCCTTTCCTGGAGTCACATTAGCTAAGCTAGCTCAAAACAACAATCTTCATGAATGTAACACTGTCTGTTTCCAACAGCTTGTCATTGCCTCCAGTATAATGACCTTTCTCTCTCTCTTTTTTTTTTTTGAACAGATGCTACATTTTAGAGAATGACACTGTTCAATGTGACACAGATTTATATAAATCATTGCAAGCCTGGAAGGACCATAAGCTTCATATAGACCACGAGGTTAGTGTTTATGGCCATGTGAATCACCATTTGAATCACATTTCCAAATTCCAACCTTGAACCTTGAGTGGACTTTTTTGTCAGGCTTTAGTCTCAACAGGCACAATCTCAGTGTTGTCTCCTTTTCAGATCCCCCCAAAAAGATCCATGTTTAATGAAAGCAAATTAAATAGTCTGATACCAGCTTTGGCTGATGTCTGGATCAACTTTGAAATGAGAACATCTTAGAATAGAGTTGCTTTTTGATGATCGATTTAGTAGCCTGTGATTCAGGTAATTATGCTGACCAAACTAGGCGGCATACAATAGTTCCCTTTTATTCCTGGAAGATCTTAAAACAGAGGGGAACATCTTAACACAGTTTTCCTTAATGAAGCCATAATCATCAGTTCTTCCTTTTGTCACATTCTGCATTGCCCTAAAGAATCTTAATCCTCTGGATAAGGGGTAGAAGAAGCCAGAGGACATGAAAACTATTTCTGTTTGTGGAGGCCTTCATCTGAGGCTGAGTCCCAAATCCTTCTGAAAACAAAAGGACATTGTTGAAGCTAATTTAATATCCTTAATTGCATAATGCACTAAAAGGACAGTGCAGAGAACATGTGGATAAGAAGTTTCAGAATAAGTGAACATAAAATTATGCCTTAACAGTATGTTAAAGACACATAACTGTTTTTCCTATTTTCCTCTTTCCCTCAAAGTGCACATATAAACATACAATACCTGCAAGAGGTAGTCTTTGACAATTAAGAGATTTACAGAAATGCACATCATTTCTCCCAGATTTTTTTTATTAATTTTCCCATAGATCATTGAACTCTCATGATACATGATGCATGGGAATTACTTGTTGATCAATTAAAATAACCCCTAACTTTAAAAAAAAATAATAAAAGAAAAACAAGTCATCTTACAGTCTGGAAAAAACCACATTCATTCCAAAAAAATGTCAGTTTAATTGTACGTGCTAGTATAAATTGCCCTGCCTTGACTCTATCTCATTGCCTGCCAAGGTTTTATTGTAAATAAAGAAAAGTAGTGGATTTTTTTTTTCTCTTTCACCTCTGCTATAATTACAGCAGTTAGGTATTCTTCCTCCAAAAGTCAAATTATGTACCTTGCTAGAAAATGTCCTTGCTGCTTATTCCAAATTTCCACCAGTGAACTGTGTAGATAACGCGATACATGGTAATTATAGTAATAATCTGTATTTCTGGCTAAAGTTTGGCATTTTAGCATAAACTCTCCTTTTAAAAAAAAAAATGTTAAAATAGAATAATTGGGATACAGAGAGGTTTTGAAGAAAGGAATTTAATGCCTAGTATCTAGACAAGTTGAATGATAGAAACTAAATCAATCAATTTTGTATCCATCCATTTGTTCTTATTTTTTTTATTATTAGATTGAAACTCTACAAAACAAAATTAAAAACCTGCGAGAGGTAAGAGGTCATCTAAAGAAGAAGCGACCGGAGGAATGTGATTGTAACAAGATAAGGTACTTTGTCTTTGGGGTCAGAAACTGCAATAAGCAGGAAGTGATTATGAATTTAGGCAGAGGGATATAAGACACAAGACTATTTAGCAAACACAGCCATCCTCTTATTAAAATCAGATACTCCAATGCCTTGATAATCCCAGTGCCTTATTGCGTCCAGTCCTGCAAGGCAGAAAAGAAAACCAGGAAACATTCACGTCTCATAACACTCTTCTATTAAAAACAAAAATAACATTTCAGACCAGTTCCTCTTACCTTGACATAGCTAACAGCTTACTGCCTTTTGGGGTTTCTTTCAAAATTTGAAATTTTCTAACCTTGGAAAGTACAAATTAAAGATGTTCAGCCTTTTTGGAATACATAGGCCCCTGGGATTTATACCTAGTGCTTTTTAAATTATCCTGAAACTGAAATTCATTATTGGAAGAGCTGGAAATACCTACAGCTGATACGTTGTTTTCTGTTACACATCTTTCAGTCACTTTGAAGCCTCCCTGGTTACTTAGATTTCCCACTGAGAAAAAGCCTCTGAATGGGGATTCTTATGATCACATCCTTTGGTAACTCAGTGAAGTAATGGAAACCAGGGAACTAACTGGTTGCCTGCTGCAGAGACTATAGTACTAAGAAAAACATGATATTCAAACACTTAGCCTGTGCTTAAGTAAATAAATACAAAAACACCACCCATGAGAATTTATTCAAAATTCTCCACTCCTTTGAAAGAAATTTTAAAAGCAAATTCCCTGCTGTCAAGCTGAATTCAAACTGGCATTACACAGCCCTTGTCTGTTTCTAATTAGGGTAAGTAGAGAGCAAATGTTTAGCACAGAGTTGGCCAAAATCGCCTTCAGTCAAGATGCTCTTGTGGCCACAGCTTCCCATTCATTATCTAAACTCAGGAACTGCAGTATTCACCTCTGAAATGAGGAAGTTACTTCAAATCTCGGGTGGATGGGCTGAATTTCTCAGTGGTCCCTTGAAGAAGGTCCCTTGTGGGACCTGTTGCCTCCTCCTTAAGATCTTCTGTACTCAGATTTGTATTTTTCTACCACTGTAAAACTACTAAATAAGCAGGAAAAGTTGCAGCTTTTTAAAGAGTGAATAGGTTCACACCAGATCTAAAAATAATGTCCAAGCTCAGAGCTGACTATTTGCACATCCTTACTTGGCACCATGGCCAAAGAAGCTCCAAAACTTCCTGTTACATGCATGGAAAAAGCTGGACAAAAGAAGCATAAAAATGTGATATTTGTTCTTCCACTGCCAGACACTCTAGAAAAATAAATTATAGTGATAAGTTTTCAAGCGGAAAGCATGAGACATTGCTTCTGCTCTCAGAGTATTTCTCTTATCAGGGACATTTCCTCAGTGACTTCTGTCATTATGTTCCCTCTTTCGTCACACTTAACATCCTGGGCTGCTCTTTCAATTCATGGTAGGAGCTGTTCCTGCCAGTGAGAAAAGAAAGAATACCAGTCTCTGTTTTAGGCCCAAATAGTGCTACTATTTATCTGAAGTCATCTAGCAAGCAGGACATTGTAAACCCTCCTGGTTTGGTCCAGGAGGGACCAAATGTTTGGTCCAATGGTTTCCAGCCGGTTGTATCCTCACAGTCAGACATTGTGTTTGCTTTCTTTCCAACTCCACATACTGCATTTCAGTGCTTATAAGTTTTAGTATGATCCTGAGATTTGTAATAGTCTACCTTTAATAAAGGTCAAAGTGGGAAATGTTGAGATTCAGCCTGCCAGCCGGAGTTATCATTCAGCTTCTCTTTCATGTCAATGTCTATGTCATTTTTTTTTCTTTAAAACCAATAAATCCCTATATAAAAAGTAGTCCTTCAAAGTAGAAAAGTAGAATCTAGTTAGCTTGCTTACTTGCCTCCTCCTCTTCCTCCTCTTTCAATTAGACAGTTACAAGGAACACTTAAACTGTAGCCTAAAGTGATGCAATATAGAGATTCTCTTTGTTTTAGAGTTTGTTGTGTATTATTTTTTTTTATTTGATTTATATGCCGCCCTTCTCCGGAGACTCGGGGAGGCTTACAATGTGTTAAGCAATAGCCTTCATACTTTTATATATTTATACAAAGTCAGCTTATTGCTCCCACAAACTGGGTCCTCAATTTATCTACCTTAGAAAGGATGGAAGGCTGAGTCAACCTTGAGCCTGGTGAGATTCGAACTTACAGTAATTGCAGACAGCTGGTGTTAATGCACAATGCTATCAGTCTGCTGAGCCACCAGGCCCTTTATTTTCTCTTTATTGCATGGAAACAAAGCCAAATAACTTATAGCAAACGAAAACAAAAGTTTTGAACAGATTATGTATCCAATTAGAGGTCTGTGTTTTATATCATTATCCTCGTTTTCTCAGTTTTATAACTGCCCCTTTCTTCAGAGTGGAGGAGCACAAATATAAAAATATAGAAGAAAATAAAATAAAGAACTGTGTTTTAGATAATTGTAGAACTGGGATATTTGTTTTTCAGCTTCCAATCAAAACACAAAGGCAAACTGAGGCACAAGGGATCTGATCTCCATCCTTTCAAGTAAGTGCAGCATCATCTTAAATGGACAACAGTTGCGAAGTAGTTCCAGTTTAGTATTTCTGTCTTACTAATCAAGAAGTCTGAGAAAATTATAAATGCAATCTGCTAAAGTGGCCATGGTTTACTATTACTTTTTTTTATAAAAAGTTTTTTTTTATTTTTTACACATACATGCACACACAAACATACAATGTATTTTTGCTGAACAGAGTATTTGGCCGGTTAACAAATTTAAACAGTTTTTAGTCCTTTCAACTAAAATTATAATGTCTATACCTCCTTTTTGCCATAGTATTTATTTTCATCTATTACCCTTCATTTTCATCTCTAATTTTAACCAAATTCCATTTTCCCCTTCTATTCTATATTAAACCCCTTCTCATTGTCATCTGTTTTTGTATCCATCATCAGATTAATTAATTTTGTGGTGTTACAGTTGTTCAATTCTTATAGGAATAGTAAACCCACTTATTTTATAACATACATTTCCTTAAATAATACAGTCCAACATTTTAATATAAATCAATTAATTATGTAAATATCTTTTTCATTTATATATTCAAAGAAGAAAAAAAAAGAATATAAACATGGATATTCCAATTAGTTCCATTTTCATAAATCAAATAATTTTCCTCATATGTTCCTCCAAACCACATCTTAATCATTTCTACTTTCACCACAATATTCAATTAAAAATATTTCATTTATTACAATTTCCTTAGTTAAATTTAAAAATATTCTAGCTGTTATCCTCTAATCATATAGCTTTCCCCATGTATTATTCCAAATCATCACTTAATCATTTCTACACACACCACCATAAACCATTAAAAGTATTTCAATTATTACAATTTAAACTTATTCATATTTCTAAAAAAAACCCTCATCATTATCTAGATTTCAAAAATACAAATGATAATATTCCAATTATTATTCAGTTCATTTTCACCATATGGTTTACCATTATTTCTTACTACAATTCGTATTTCAGTTCTAGATATATACATCATATTCCTCTTTTATTTATTTCTCCTTTTCTCCCTTTTCATTTTTATTTTTACCTTTTTCTTTCCCCTTTTTTCCTCTGCTTTAAAATCCTGATCTTTCCTGTTTTGCCCTATATTTCCCATTGTTTCCCCTCTCTTTTCTCTTTTTTTTATTTCACCACGTTTAGCCCACTATTTACCCCAGTATTATCATTCTGTATTTCAAAGTCCTGGATTCTTCTATTTTGCCCTGTTGTTTTCCACCCTTTTTCTCTCTTTTTTATCTTTTCACTGTAAATCCCAGTGTAATCATTTAAGTTCTTTGTATTTTTTCTGTTCCACCTTTCTATCCTTATTTGTCTCTTTCCATTTTTTTCATTGTTAATCCCAATGTAATCTCTAAAAACCTCCTTTTTATTATTACTATCCACTATTACTTGAGATCCTTATAAAGAACCATGCCCCTTTGGCCATGCACATACTGAGACTTTCAGACTAACTGGTTGACTTCTTTCATCTACAAAATCAGTTTTAAAAAGACAGTATGAGATACTGGCAGAATGAGGTACTATAATTTTGAACTGAACCACTTCAGCATTCAGAAAAAGTTTCTTGTCTTTACAGCTGCCTGCAATACAGAAATAAAAAGAAGCGGTATGATTGTATTAGCTAGCATAGCATAGATATGAACATGGAGGCTAAGCTTTAATAATGTCTATGGAGATTCTCAGTCATCCAGGTCATGATTGTCCCAGAGGTCCTCTTTCTCAAGGCAACTGGACTTTGTTTTTCCTGGAAGACCTTTTGCTTCTCATCCAAGAAGCTTCTTCAGTTCTGATTCTTTAATACTTAATGCATCAAACAAAAGTGGTGGATTCCTCTTATGGGACATCTTCAAAGCAAATGGGGGAATAAACAGCCACTTGTCATATATGCTTTTGTGGAGAGTCCTGCATGAACTTGGACTTAATATGACTCTATAACTCTATTACACACATACATACTAATGTGACTTTAAAAAAAAAAAGATTTGAGAAGTACTTTTTTAAAAGGAAATATATCCAGACTAAAGTAGCAATGGATAATCAATCTCAGATTGGGGATGAGTGTTGTTATGCATGGTGTTTATTTGGAAATTTTCTCTTCATGGCCACACATTTATTAGTTCAGTAGAGTTCCACCTCAAGGATTTTGGATTATTGACTGGGAGGCTATTTTACACACATATAAGCATAATAATGGCCAGTTGACCAATTTAGTCCTGACAAACAGGAGTAAGTAAAGTTAAGAGCCCAGTTTGGTATACAATTAAGGCATCTGACTAGAAAACAGGAGATTGTGAGTTCTAGTCCCACCTTAAGCACAAAGCCAGCAGGTGGCCTTGGGCCAGTCTCTCTCTCTCTCAGCCCTAAGAAGCAGGCAGTGGCAAACCACTTCCAAAAAATACCTAGCCAAGAAAACCGCAGGGAATAGTCCAGGCACTTACCAGAATTCAAAACTCACTCGATTCCAAAAAAAATAAGAAGATAAAAGTTAGCATCCCAAAATTAACTTTGCTGTTATGTAAAAACTGAATGAGATGGGAGGTGATAGCCCAGATAGTCCATGATAGCCGTCTGCCTTACTGCCAGACTTCTGGGTCTATAAAGCAGTTGGTTTTATCTATGAGGCAATTTATGAGTTATTATGAATTCTTGATCTTTGTGTTCAGGAAAACCTTTCAGGAGAAGGATAAGCTATGGCTCCTCCGAGAACAGAGGCGAAAGAAGAAACTCAGGAAGCTGCTCAAAAGAATAAAAAATAATGACACATGTAGCATGCCAGGCCTGACATGCTTCACACATGACAACCAGCATTGGCAGACTGCCCCCTTGTGGACATGTAAGATATATCTCCGTGCATGTAAAGCATTTAAAATTATTTAGAAAGTACTTTACAACTGTTGTCAAATGTTAACATTTTATTCGTAGTGGGTCCTTTCTGTGCCTGTACCAGTGCAAACAACAACACATACTGGTGTATGAGGACGATCAATGAGACACACAACTTTCTGTTCTGTGAATTTGCTACTGGCTTCCTTGAGTACTTTGATCTGAACACCGACCCTTACCAGGTAATTAAAAAAAAACCCCAAAGGTTCAGAGTTTGCATATGATCAACTTTCCATGACCCATACACACACACACACACAAAAAAAAAACCTGAGTCTGCCCTGTATTTACCACTTTTCATGATAATAACATCAATTGGCACACTACATTTTGCAGTTGGTCAGATATGACTGCACCAGTGTTGGCTGCAGGAAACCTTTTCATATATATCAAGCTTTCCGTATCTCATGCTCTCTTGATATCTTCAGATTGCAGGTCCCACAATTTATTCTCCATGTTGAACTTTTAGTTAGTTTGCATTGATGTTTGTGAGATGATAGGCTGCCTATAAAATGGCCAACACCTGCTGTTGCCATCCCATTAAGGCCTTTCCCTAGCCAGCACAAAGATTGGTTGTAAAAGCTGAGCTGAGAGGTTCTCCAACAGTAAGATTCACAAAAAATAATAGTTGGAGGAGCAGTAGGAAGTAAGAAAGAATGGAGTAGAAGGTAATATTAGCCTTTGAGTAGTTGTGTGTGTGAGAGTTGACTAGGGACCAGATTTGTCTTGTTGGCTCTCTTGTTTTGGAGCCACTAACTTGGGTACACGTAAAAAGGCCTGTGACAATGTTATAAATTAAAGCTTATAATATTAGCCTCCTCATGAGGTGAGGATAAAGTTCAGTTCTACAGTTGCCTTCATCACTACTTCCTTTTTCTCCACCAAAACCTCATCTCTGCAGAAAAAGGAAAAGGCAATAGAAGTCTAAGATTAGAGATCTAACATCTGAGCATTAGGAATGCAAATGCCTGTATCCAGTTTTTTGGAGAGGGAGGAGTGATCACCCCCCACTCCCCAGCATATTGACGGGGGGCCACCTTTCCCTTTGGCACAGAGTGCTGAAAAGGTCCTGCGGAAACATCCCATGGACGCGCTTGTCGAAGCCACATTCCGGAAAAGCCGAACTTTCAGGTTCTAGCACACATGCACGCCCCATGATCAGCTGGCCAGCGTGCATGCGTAGGCCAGTTTTCGGCACTGCCGCACACCCAGGCAGCTGATCGCGCACGCATGCGCACCAGAAACCCGGAAGACAAACAGGCAATGCCATGCATGCTGGGCAACATGGCTTCGTGTGCCACTTTGGGCATGCGTGCCATAGGTTCACCATAACGGTGATAGGGAAACCCCACCAGATTTTCCGTATCATTCACAAAGAACTATTTCATTTTGCATTGCAGACTTCTAATCGTTTTCTATCAGCCTTCTATCTCAGGTTGGGGGTGGGTGGGTGAATGCTACAACTCATATGCTCTCCCCATAGAGAATAACAGACTGCCCTGAACTGCATTTATTTAAACATTCACTGGGTCTCTTATGAAAAAAGCACATTGATTGGCTAGATAGGGAGATTCCACATAAACCTTTCACACCAATTAATTTGTCTTTTTTTTTTTCCTGTACACAAAATGGTGGCATGTTATTCAGAGCTGAATGCTAGAGTCTTCCCCTTGATTATTCCTGCAACTCAAATACACTGGAAAAAAAAATCAATGCAATCTCTCCTCTCCTTATTGAATACCTGCTATAATTTAAAAATTGTTTCTTTGTGCAGCTAATTAATGCAGTAAACACACTGCATAGAGATGTTCTCAACCAACTTCATGTGCAGCTCATGGAATTGAGAAGTTGCAAAGGCCATAAACAGTGCAACCCAAGGACCCGAAATATGGAACTTGGTAAATTCAGTTTTTATTTCACTTTGGTAAGAGGAGTGTGCTTAAATAATTAGATGGATACTATTTTAAGTCACTTGTATATACCTTTAAATAGTTTAAACAGGAAATCTAAATCAGGGATAGGTTTCAATCACATATTTAAACTTCATATAGATGTTACGGGAAGCGTCTTCATTAATTCCCCCAGTTCTAATTAAGGAAGGTATGGTATGAATTCATAAATAAATTCTAGAATTTATCATAGGTCTTACACTGGTAAGATAAATAAGAATACAGACATTGGGAACTTTCAAGTGATAAAGTAGTAGTTATTAACTATATGTAGCTTTGTGGAGTAGCAGTGTAAAAAGTGCAGAATGGCTTAACTCAATGACTTTATTTAAATTCAGTATTCCATCACTTTGCCTCTATATCAAACTGCAGTTGGTGCATAATAAATGTGAACCAGCTTTAAAGTTATTATGGGAATGTAAATTGAATGTGTAGATTCTCATTCTACATGCAGCTGGTGTGGTTTTGTTCTCTCAAACTTCTGTGTTTGGAAAATGCCACAGTACTTAAAACAAACTGTTGATAGATTAATTTTACAATATGCTTTTCTCCCCCCTTGCTTCCATGAACTCTTGCTAATTAGTACTATTTTCTTCATTTAGGTCTTAAAGATGGAAGCTATGAACAATACAGGTACTAATACTAATTATACGTTTCCCCATGCCCAGAAGTAAATCTACACTAAATATTAAAATAATCCATAGGCAGATAGAATTATGTTGAGGACAGCAAAACCTTGGGTTCCTTTTGGTATTTTAATGTTAGAAATGTTCAATTGCCTACCCAGCATGCTTGCTTGGGTTTTTGTTTTTCTCTTTCTTTCTTTCTTTCTTTCTTTCTTTCTTTCTTTCTTTCTTTCTTTCTTTCTTTCTTTTCTTTCTTTCTTTCTTTCTCTCTCTCTTTCCTTCCTTCCTTCCTTCCTTCCTTTCTCTTCCTTCCTTCCTTCCTCCCTCCCTCCCTTCCTTTTCTTTCTTCAATAAGGTGTGTAATTAATTTTTCTGTCCTATTGCGTCTCAAAAATTAGGCAGTTTCAACGTCGAAAATGGCCAGAAATGAAAAGATCTTCATCTTCCAAGTCACTGTAAGTTGGAATTTATTCTTGTAAATCATTAGTTTTTGCTTCTTGTTATTTTTATTTATTTCTTGCACACAGTACATATTTACAACTGCATATATCCTGTTTTAGTCCATCTTAACAGAGAGAAGGTTGACAGAATGATGGACCTCATCTAATATTTGGAGTCTCTAGCAAAAGGTTTACTGGGTTCAATCCTAATATGATGGAACCTTCAAAGCTGAATTACTGTATCATGGAGGTCCAATATTTAGAAGAGGATCTTTTTTTCCCCTGAATTCTGAATGTGTCTGTTAATCAGAGTAGAATGCTGCCTTATGATGTGTATATAGAGGTAGTCTTGACCTACATTCATTCAGTGACCTTCAAAGTTATAGTGGCACAGAAAAAAATGACATAACTATTTTTCACACAACTGTTGCAGCAACCCCACACTCTTCACATCAAAGTTCAGATGCTTAGCAACTGGCATGTATTCATAACAGTTGCACAACAGTTGCAGGGATCATGTGATCACCTATTTGCAATATTTCCAGCCGACTTCCAATAAGCAAAGTCAATGGGGGAAGATAGATTTGCTTAATGATCACAAGTCACTTAATTGCCGTGATTTCCTTACAGTTATGGCAAAAAAGGACCATAAAATTGGGCAAAACTCAAGAGCTTCCTTGCTTAGGAACAGAAATTTGGGGCTCATGGTCATAAATCAAGAACTTACCTATGTAGAGCGCATTAGGCAAATGTGTCAGCTGCCTTCTAGCTGTGCCAATCTAAAGCAAAAACTGGAGCTCAAAACTTGAGCCCAAGCTTAAATATCAGATTATAGCTACAGGTGGTCCCTAGTTAATAATGGCAATTGGGATTGGAATTTGCATTACATTATGATGCATTTGTAAAGCAGAATATTATTGAACACACATTTTAGCAACAGCAATTCTAGCAGATCCTGGTTACTGTAGTTAAGTAAATCATTGCAGAGCATTACATGAGAACCTTGTGTGACTGTGATCTCCTTTCCTTTCCTTTCCTTTCCTTTCCTTTCCTTTCCTTTCCTTTCCTTTCCTTTCCTTTCCTTTCCTTTCCTTTCCCTGCCTCCCTCAAAAGTTATTGCCCTATGACCATGATGGCAAATCTATGGCACATGTGCCAGAGGTGTCACACAGAGCTCTCTCTGTGGGCACGTGCCCATCGCCAGCTGCTCTTTTGGTTTCTGGTGGTGGTCTTCGCGGGCACGGAGCACTGAAAAACATCTCGAACAATGGCCAAAAAACAGGCCGTTTTTCAGGCCATTTTCCAGCCTGTTTTCGGGCTGTTTTTGGGCCAAAAACAGCCCAAAAAACGGCGAAAAAACAGGCATGCGCGCGCCAGCCAGCTGGTCTTCAGGTTTCCGGCGCTCTGGCGTGCACACACACATACACAAGCGGTTCCGATTTGGGCACTCGATGCCGAAAAGGCTCGCCATCACTGTCCTATGATATACTGTCATACATACAATGTCAGTACATTGCCCCCAACAATCTAGGTCCTCATTTTACCGACCTCTGAAGGATGGAAGGCTTGAATCAACCTTGAACTGCTCAGGATCAGACTCCTGGTTGTGGACAAAGTTAGCCTGCAATGCTGAATTTTAACCACTGCGCCACCACAGCTCTTAATATAGATGTCAAATTCCTTCTAAAAATTTAGTTGCCAAGTAAGGGAGATGATGGTCTCTACTTTTATTGAAGGTTCCACATGTAGCCCCTGTGGTTCATATTCTTTTCTTCGTGTGACCTTGATAAAATTAGACTTCTGTTTCATAGTCCAATCGGTTACAATGACAATGAACTAATGATGTCTTTTATTTCTATTTCACAGAGGGCAACTTTGGGAAGGCTGGGAGGGGTAATTTCCTACAACTGCTAGACCTCAGTGAGGACATAAACTGGCCGGAACTTGAATTCTTGTACAGACTTAATAAAGTATGTATGATTTCAGACTGAATCATAATCTTAGCATGGAAGACTGGATGAACTTTGATGCTAAGGTAAATAGGATATTTGCATTTTTATGCAGTCCAAAATGATGCAGTTATCTTCTGGAGACTACTGTTGTCAAGAACCTGTATCCTACTAGTTTAACTCGCATTTGCTTTGGATTATACCTCACTTGCTTCACAAGCTATTTTATTTCAGTCAATCACCCGAGATACTATTCCAAAAGAGGACAGCAGCGAAAAATTGCAACCTTTAGAATCCTGAAAGGCAAAAGCACAGAAGATCAGATTTCAACAGAAGACAATTTTATATTTTCTTTAAATGAAAGCATTGGAAAGACAAATGAAGATAATAACACTTTTTTTTTCCTTTCTGGCTTGGACAAATTAAACTTTGAAGCACTGATAAAAAAAAAATCTGTTAAGGGATTCTAGGCTCTGCAAAGGATATTACTGAAAAAAAGCACCAATTCACCACTGTAATATTGTCACTTGTTTGTGTACTACAAAATGCAATTTAGTTCACAGTTTTCACATCTTCCTTGAGTTGAGAGAAGAAACAGAAAATAAACCCTCACTCGGAGAAACCACCTTTCCAGCATTGTATTGTAAATACTCAGTGTTCCATTTCAAAAAAAATCCAATCCAGAAGATTTTTGTTACTGAAATATTGGCATGCTCCAATATCATTTCTGAAAATGTCACTTCACTGCATAATTAAACTTTAGAATTGATCATTTTTTTAAAAAAAAATACCACTGCAAAATTAAAAGCAGTTGATGTATGTCTTGAATTTTAACAAAGTTGGATTTGTATTAAGTCTTTGTGGTTATACTGTATGTTTAAAAAAAACCAAAATTATTACTATAAAAAAGCACTTGTTTACTTTTATATTTGGAGCTTTTTTAAAAAGATAATTATGTGATCACTATACAAGCAACTTAATTCTAGTTTGTTGCCAAAATATGAATTTATATAACCTGTATATTAGAAGAAATACATTTCTGAAAGTTTACAAACACAACTTGTTGGATGGGAGAGAATGGGAAAGAACCTTTCCCAGTAAGACCTGACTTCTAAAAAATTGAACTGTTTCCAGATTCAGTCTCAAAGAAATTTCTCTTATTCCATTACTTGAACATATCAGTTGTTTTTCTATTACACATTTCATCTTCCACCATTGAGAACTTGTTTTGTATTTTATTTATATAATCATAGTGCTTGCCTACCAACCATTCATTGGAGTTACAGTGGTACTGAAAAAAATTGCGGCCTATTTATGACTAGTACAACCTTCTGAGGGAACGTCCCTCAATCACATGGTCACCATTACAGTCAGTATATATTGTTTTGTGGCTGACCTGTGAGGGGTTCCCCCCCCCATTGCAGAAAGATTGACTGGCAAGAAAGGGATTGCAAGAGCTGCACATTAAAAGCATTGCAATCATGCAGGAAGATCCAGACTAAGAGCCTCGGATGTGCTATGCATCACATGAATTCTCACTTAGCGACCGCTTTGCTTAGCAAAGTTCCTAGCTCCACTTAGAGCTAGGACTACCTCTCTGTTTTTGTAACACACATGCACACAACTTTCAACACAATTCGATGAAAAAGGCATAAAGCCACAGTAATAGAGAGTCATGAAGCAACCCTAACCCTTGTTTTCCCCAGAGCTTCTAAAAGGCACTTCTTCATGAGGCGCCATTCAGTAGCCAGCGACTCCAGAGAAAGGAAGACATTCTACTAGCCTTGATTTCCTAGTAAGGAGAACTCTTAGCATGCTTTCTCAGCCTGAACATTATGGCGTATACATCTGGAGTCATGAAGTTAGCATGGCTCTCATCCATAAAGAGCTTCATAGGTAACTAGTAAATAAGACCTAGAAGTCAGCCAGCACTGGTAATAGTTACATGTATCATTTATCAGTGAGCAAAGCAAGCAATGGCATTCTGCTCCAGCTCCCAAGTTGTCTTGCAGAGTAAATTCATGTTGTGAATTGTAACAATGCTACTGAGAGATAACAAGGGCACAAGTAATTATAGTTAGCACATCCAGATCTAGAGAAGAGTACAACTGGCAAATTAATGGAAGGAGGTTCTCCTGCCACAACTGGCACCTGTTGCTTTGGCAAGGTGAGATGCAAGGGTGGATTCTACTTACCTTTACTACCGGTTTGCAATGGGGCCGCGCGTGCATGCTCAGAGTGTTCTGATGACATCGGGGTCAGTGGGCAGAGCCTCCCGCCAGTTTTACTACCGGTTCTATAGAACCGGTGCGAACCGGGGACAACCCATCACTGGTGAGATGGTACTGAGATTCCAGGAGGAGACCCCCCCCCCAAATTGTACACACACTCTTTCAGAGGAGACCTACCCTGTGTATAGCTAAGCATGGAGCTGTCCTGGTACCAGATGGCCTTTGCAGAAACAGGAACTCCTCTTAGGGGGATTCATTCTGAGCCTCTTCTGTGCCGGTCAGTTTCTCAAAAGTCAAAATTTCTACAACTCCTGTAAAGTCATGAATGGAGATACAGACTGGAGCCTTATTAGCATAGTACCAGTGCCTCACCCAAACCTGGCAGATTATCTTTCCAAGGGATACTAATTTGTAATATCAGAGCTTTCATGCATGGCACACTGAGGAAAGTAAAAGACTGAATTTTTAAAACCCAAAATAGAAATAGTGACCTTTTCTCTCCCATCAGCAATTGGAAATATCCATTTAAGAGCAAAATCTCTAACACATTGTCTCCAATCCCGAGTCCTTGTAAGTGGCCCAACTGGGTATCATAATTTAATATCATAAACTGCTATGTGATCCAGTAAGAAAAAGCGAGATGCCATAGCCTCCAAATCTCAGAAATGCAGCTTTCATATCATTTTCAAATCTGAACCCAGAATATAAGGGATCCAGATAATTGTTACCCAGAAACCCGTTTAGCTGCCACCCTACCACTTTCTCTACTTACTTTCTCAAAAAAGACAATTGGTGGCAGGAATATAGTATTCTATGATGGTTAGCTCAAGTGATGGCTTCCTAAAGAGAGTACATCACCACCTATTTCAAGATAGGTGACACTGCAAACCTTACTAAGTTGAAAGATTCAGTACAAAATTTAATCTATTTCCTACCTTATGCTAGATAAAACCTGTGTAGGAACTTGTTCGATTTACATCCCTTATTTACACAGAAGTATGTGGGAGATGCCAAAAATATCACGATTTACACTGAAGTTTGTCACGTGGCCTGCAATCTAAGTTTAAATCATTTTGACTATGGTCAAACTGCACAGAGAAAAGGAACTTCAGTTTGAAGATGAGTAAAAGCTATATATAGCCAATGTTAGCTTAAAGTGGCAATTACAGAATTTGATCTGGGCTGGCTGTTTTGTTTTTACAGATATGGAATAATTATAAGTGTGGTGTATGTATGGAAGCATTCTATGGAACCATTATGTTGAAACTCTCATCTAATATCAAATGTGTAACAGGCAATTATGCCACTAAATACTATCTAATTATATTCAGGCTTTTTCTGAATGAAAAATGTTTCCTTTATGCATTATACCCAACTCTATATATCACCTGATTTTGGAAATTCAGCGTAGTCAGTTTGCCAGGACAGAATATAATTCAGGAGTAAAAATGTAAGTGAAAGTATATTGTGTTTACAATTTGAGATTTAATCATGCCACCAAAGTTCAGTTTCAAATAGAAACCTTTATTTGCATTATTATCCACATTCAAACAAAACAAATTAAAACAATATAAACAAGACCACATCCCAAATTAAACCCTTTCTTTAAAATGCCAGCGCCCTTTGTGTGATGTAAAGATCAATTGTACGAGTCATTTTAAGTATAAACTAATTCCAGAATTAATTTTAAATACTGCATGCCTTTCTCCTGAGCTAACAAATATTGCTCTCATTTGAAGGGTTTCAACATTGCTGCCACATGGCAGTCTGCTACTAAATTGTCTATGCTAGTTTGTGTAACTTTCAAATGGTTTCATCTGAAAAAGGTTTTACTAAAGTAAAAGCATAAAGAAAAAAGTTTAGGTAGAAAGTAGCTAAACTGGTTAACCAAACACAAAGAATAAACAGAAAAAAATGGATGCACCCTAGCAAACAAATTGGATGGGATGAGAATGGGCTTATTACAAAGACAATTTTAAAAGACATTAGTACCTTCTAATCTTTTTGCGATAATAAACCATCCAAATGCTGTAGAATCAGCACTACAGCTACTAAATATACTGCCGCAGGGTGTTTTTTAAAGGGGAATATTTATAGCTCAGGGTTGAAATGAGGGGTCCTTGGTGCTCTCTGAGCTTGGTCATTTTCTTGCAGACATTTCATTACCCTACCTAGGTAACATCATCAATGCTAGTGATGACTACATTTCAGATGCTTAGCAACCAGCTCACATTTATGACTGACTGCAATATCCTGTGGTCATGTGACCACAGCATGCAACTTTTTTGCCAGTTTCCTGCAGGTTGCTGGTTTCTGACCTGTTTTTATGATTGTGTGAGTCACTTTACAACCGCATGATTCAGATGTATAACTTTGCGGTTTCCTTAACTATTGTTATAAAACCAGGTCCAATCAACTTGGGTGTGTTTTGTGACCATCATGACTTGTGACCAAAAATTCCAGCCCCAATTGCAGCTGAAAGTTGATACTTTGAATTAACAGTACTTAAAGACTGTTCTTCTTAGTAGCCATTCAAAATGAACTTTTTGAAATGTATGGTTGTTTTTCTACTTAATAAAATTAAACTTGAAATTGCTGGAATCAAAGAAATAGCAACAGGGGAAAGAATCAGTGGACAACAAATACTACCAGAGTTTAGAAATACTCAGGAATATTCCTATTCAGAAAGAACTAATTTGAAAACGTAATAATAATGAAACCAGAATTGAAATAGGGGGGAAACAGAAACTCTGTCAGATGAGAGACCAAATTTTACAAAGCAACTAAACTCACAGCTGTTACCAAAATCCTCAAACCTTATAAAAGTTGAAATTTTACCAACCATTCCTACTTCATAGGAAGAGTTTTCATATTACTCAGAATGCTTCCCAGGATATCAGAACACCCCCTTTCAAACTTGAAACTAGTTTGGAATTCCTAAAGTTTTGCACACATCTGCTTTTTAGCTTTTTACCATGAAGTCGCACTTTGCACTTAAAATGGCTTCTAAAAAGCTTTTTTTTTTTTTTACTGTAATAAGATCCACAACACAACAAGCCTCAAAAGGCACCCTGAATGCCCAGAAATTATGATATGAATGTGTGCAACATATTTCCTCAAGTATTTACTATTAAGGTTTTTAATATGTGATGAGATGTGGAGTTTCATCTAAATTACGCTTTAAATAATTACTCAAAGCTATTACAATTTAAACATTAAATATAATTCATTAACTTACAGATTAACTGATACTTCAGAAAAAGTAAAAGGGCCAGGAGGCTTCTGGTCATTTGCAGGGAAAATATGCACATCAGAACACACATAACTCTGGATCAAAACTCAAATATTTAAAAGACAACTTTAAGAAAATGAAATACAATCACTGAGTGAATTATATAAAAAGGCAATAAATTCAGTGTGTGCTCAAAATACAGCAGCCTTGGAGTAGAGGGAGCAAAGTAAGTGTATCGCTCAGAATAAAATTGCAAAGCTTCTGCAAAAATTAAAATAAATTTCCAATACAAATCAAATACTGTAATGAAAATCACCAGTTTACATATTCAAGAACTAATTTGAAAATGTAATAAGAATAATGAAACTACACACTACACTGCTTCAGACATTTTAATCTACCTTTTGAAATAGTTCATTCTGAATCACTACAGTTATTTTCCTGGAAAAAGGCAATACACAGACTTTCATTTATTTGCTATAAATGGAAAGAAAAACTATGGCATTTCTAGCCTTAAATTGTAGATAATGATATGAAGGGTAATGCATAAAAATAAATTTATTTGTTGCCCATATTGCAATAAGGTGTAATATAATTAATTGCCATTCATAAAAGATTCTGGGTAAGTTACACAAGAGATTTGGCCTCCAGATGACAGAAGACATTTAATACACACAAAAACATGTTCTGAGAAACACTGAATTTCTTTAAAAGTTAGCCAAGTGGCCTGGAGCAGAGGCTCTTTTGTTGAAAAAGCAGATTATATTAAAAATTCAACAAACTGTTAACAGCTAAAATGAGCCTTTTTGTCATCAAATTGCTCTCTATTAAAAAAAGTAACAAAGTGCACACTTAAGGTATAGAGAAAAATTTAAGACCACTAAAATATGCCCAAAATATCTTTAAAAGCCAATACATATTTTTCTAAATAAATTGTCAGAAACCAAGAGACAACAAGGGCTACAATTACCCAGCTCCAAAACCATTTAAATAATAATAATAAAAAATCCTATTTGGACGACTCTAACTAAATTGAGTTTACAGAAATTATCTTTTGTTAAATAGCTTCACAAACTCTGCAAAAATGAGTTAGTGACCTACAAAAGTCATATATTTATCGTACAACATCTTAAGATATTTACAAAACATATTCACAAACAGTTTTGTTTCCAACTCCAATGTCTTTTTTGAGTTTTATGTGAAGTTCAGGAACTGTGATTATTGCTTCTTATTACCATGATTAGAAACACAGTATGTAACAGCAATTTAGAATGATCTTAACAAGGGAGAGGTCCATCTAATCATTCTTAACCATATTGCATTTCCATATACCATTTTGTAAAGTGCACACACCTGCACATCAGGGTGGAGATCTCTGTCATAATTATACCTATCTCCCTGAAACCTTTTGGCATCAAAAACATGATTTGGATTCTATGACGGGCATGAGCTGAAATATGCACATCTAAATTCCAACATATGGAAGCAACTTTAACAGCAGCATGACGGTTGAACGCTTTGTTTCATGATTACATCAAGGCCAAGAACTACATTCTGTCAGAGGCTCTTATTATGTAATTCAAGATTATTACTAAGATTTCTTCAGGCACTTTGGTCTGCCTGTGGTTATGGGCTTTGAATAGCTACCGTAAACAGAATTAGTCTACAAACTATCTTCCCATTACACCTACTCAAAAGTTGTTGCCATGTTCCAATTGTAGAATGCCAAAGTAATAGTTGACCCTTTTATAACATTATACAGTGACATTTTGATTCTATCGATCACATCCAAACTTCATAACTTATAAAGTCACTTAGGAGATCTTCATGGAAAGGGAGTGGTCCCCCCCCCCCATAAGGCTACATGTTTGACATGACACTCGTGCGTTTTCTGTAATATAGTTCACCAACTTCTATGGCATCAGCCTGTTAGGGGATCCTGGCAGGATATGTCAGCAGTATTTCTGCAGAAAAGAACAATAGAAAAATATAAGAGAAACAAACAGTAGAATATAGTGAAAGTAATATTGCAATTCTAGAGATTAAGTATATAAACATAAATTAATTGGCAATTAGTGCTTTGAACACTATGGAATGAATTTTGGTAGAAAGATGTCAGTTACATTTGCACTCCTATATTCCCAAGAACAGGATCCCAGAGTTATGATCCTGGAATGATAATGGGTAGTTATTTTCCCATTACAAATTCTTCATCTTGCAGAAAGCTAATGACAATCTATTGGAATAATATAGAATTGAAAATTTGTGAGAAAAAAGGAAATATACAAGAAAAAAACCAAGCACACTCATTTATGAATCAGACTTGAAAATATTGAGAATATCTACTTTAAAAGTAGTCCCAAAGGTACTTTTTTCAAAAGGCAATGGGACTTTCGTGGCTTTTTTCCTTTGAAAATGTTTTGCTTCTTATCCCAGAAGCTTCTTCCGTTCTGAACGGAAGAAGCTTCTTGGATGACAAGCGAAATGTTTCCAAAGGAGAAAAACCAAGTAAGTCCAGTTGCTTTTTGGAAAAAGCACCTCTGGGATAACCATGAGAATCTCCACAGATTTCTACCTTAAAGTATTTAAAGGAACTGATCCTGGCTGGTGATCTCTAGAAATGGAATGCCACTTACCTGATCAGGGCCCATGGGCATTCCTGACATAGGCATAGAAGTGATATTCATTTGGGCCATGTGGCTTCCACCACTGTTCATATGCATCATATTGTAACTTGCAGGATTCCCTGGGTGGCTGAACTGCTGCTGTGGAAAAGAACTATGGGACAAAAGAATAGCAAAAAAAAGAAGAAGAAGAAGAAGATAAATTATTGAATATACAGTAACTACAATTTCACAAGATAATAGGAGATGAATACCATCAATATTGAAGTGGCTTTCAAAATGGCAAACGTCATTCAAGGTGAGCAAGTATAACATGATGCATAGCAATGGTCTCTGGTTAATTTTCATTTCTTTTTTTCTTATACTTCTTAAGATATCTAAGGCAGGGGTGAAATGCTCCCAGTTTAGACCAGATCGCCCGATCCGGTAGCGATGGCGGCAAATGGTTCGGAGAACCGGGACCAAAAATCCCTGCCCCCCCCATCCCAGCTGAG